ATTAGCAACTCTGGCATACCTTGCTAGATTCCATAAAACAATTCTGAATGTAGTTTGTGTCATAAGAATGAAGGGAGTGAATTTCTTGACATTGAGGGTTCTTCCTATTTGGCAAATATGGCATAAAACTTAGATGTAGCACTTTGGCAGCAACTAGAAAAATCCCAGTAGCAAAGACAATAGACAGCCATTTCAACAAAGAAAAGCTTCCCTGTAAACAAAAGAGGATAATCTTAAAACTTCATGGACAATTTCTCACAAAAATATGTTAACCTTGACAAAGGCGCCTAACATGTTAAGTTGTTAAGAATCAAGATGTTTGAGAATCCTCTTCAGCTTGGCTTGGATAAACTCAGATCAAGTATCTACTGCCAAGTTTAATAGGAGAAAGCCAAATTCAAAGACTCATTTACTGAACAAACCTAATATCTTGGAGAATCTCAAATTACAGTTTAGTATTGTAGCTGTGAGCAGAATAGCAGATATTTTCCATATTGACAAACATAACTGTTAATTATCTGTAATACAGTACTTTTTATGTTCATATGACTTCTCTCCTCTCAACAAAAATAATACTCCGTAATAAATAAATCTCAAGCAACAGAAGACAAATAACCCACATAACCTGCTAGAAGTCTAGAAATCTAGAATTAGTCTTAGTGAGGTTCAAACCTATGAACAAGGGTTCTGGCCGCAAGGCTCTTGACATTTACGCAAGGCCTTGAGGTTTATCTACAAAAAGTATTAGTAATATAATTCACTCTAAAAGTTATGCTTGAAAGGTTATTTTAGTACTTGCATTATACATGCTCAGAGAGTTAATACTAGCTCAATAATCCACCAATTCAAAATTGAGTTCAAACACAAATCTAAGCTTACGAAGCCAAACCATAACTGCCTAAGTTATTAACTAACCAAACTCAAACAAATATCATTGTTTGGCTATTAAAAGAGCAGAATGCAAGCCAAGCCTGCCTGAAGAACTAAGCAAGCCACATTAGTATCATACCAAGCTTGGCTCAACTACAGCCTGACTAATACAAGGCAAGCAAATTCTTAATTCAGGTTCCTTATTCCATAAGTGCATAATACTGATGAGAAATTTCCCTCAGCTGCTCAGTGATTTTGCCTCTTTGTCAAAAGTAAATGTGTAAGTTCACAAGAATGAAAAGAAACTTATACATGAAATACCTTACGAGAAGAAAAATTCACAGCCTTTGCAACTGCACCAGAAGACAGTTGTTTAGAAGGAAGCGTATACACATCTTCATAGTACATATCTAGAATATCAGCCAACCCAACCTACAGTAATTGAACAAGACAGAGAGTTCATTAGAAAGAACCATTATGGTTCATCAGCTAATATAAAACACAAAAAGCTGGATTATTAAAACATAATATGTGGTATTAGTCCTAGATAAGTAGTTAAAGTGAAAAAAAAAAAAAAAACTATTTCCCTGGGCAACAATGAACAGAATATAACTCAAGGCTTCATCTTAGATGCCAAAGTCAAAATCAAAGGACAAGTGAAGTACCATTTGGGAATGAGTCAGAACTACCCAGTGCATATTTGTATCCAATTCCTGCCAACCCTCAAGTTTCACATTGCTAAATTTATCAGTGCTAATCTGCAACCCGTAAGAAGGAACACATTCACTGACCCAAGCAGCAAATTCAGGACCACCAATCCGTTCCAACTTCAGGTATGCTGATGATGCCAGCCAATTGCTCTTCCATTTTGCCTCCTTCGGTTTATATTTTCCGATTTCTAATCTAAACCTCTCCAGCAATGCTGCAGAATTTGCAACTACCTCATGTTCAAGTAAGTTATACAAAATGACAGAGGAATCTTTTGATATAATCCTTTTAGGTGAATGCCACCAAGGGAATAACTTATTTGACTGTGTCCGTAATGAGTTGGCAGAGAAACAACTTTGAGTACTTTCAAGAGCTGAAAGGCAAATAACTTCTGCAAGTACAGAAATGAGCTGTTCGTCTGATGATTTGAGGATGAAAGATGCAGGTACCTGTTGATGGGAAAGTAATAACAGAACTCAACCTATCAGTAATCACGTGGCACCTGCAGGACAGACATTTTGAATGTGATATTACAACAGAGTAAATCAGTTGCAATGAGACAAGCAAAGGGGTAAAGGAAAAAAGAAAAGGAAATATACAGATAAGGCAAAAAGGTAAGTAACCTCTCTTAGATTTTCAAGATCATCCATTTTTCTTTCTGTTCCAGGTCTAAACAGAATCAGTTCAAAGTTCCAAAGCTGTTGCAAAGTCACTTGTCTAAAAGTCATGGAAAGTATATTCTTTGATGTTGTGCTGGACAGTAAATCTTTTGTAGAAGAACTTCTCATCTTTTTAGCCTTTTCCCTGACTTTAATAGATGGTAAAAACTGTGAAAACCACAATGGTCAGTTAAATGGCAATTGTATTTCTTACCATAGCTAATTGATGCTAAGTAAAGGGAAAAGACAAACCATGAAGACAACTTTTGTAGCTTATAAAAACAGTCAAAACCATAATCAACTATCAGCTAATACCTAATTTACCAAACATTTTTCTACAATCAGTCAATGCTATCAACTAGTCAAACCCACTAATACAATCAACTAACAACTATTTACCAAACACCCCCTAAATCCAACTAATTAGTTAGTCTAACTCATTACCTTATAAACACATATCTTCTCTCTTTTTTTTTTTTTTGAATGTGGACTCTTGACAATATTATCCAGAATACTGATGCTTGAAAACAATCAGAACAACTAATTGCAACTGCCAAGTGCCATCAAAACTCACAATTCATTATCATTTCCTTGACCTGAACCTCAGTATTTGAGATAGATTATTATATGAACTGACCAGTCTAGTAGAGACAGTGCTGTGCTCATCAGAAGACCCTGGGAACACGGTGTGGACGACCATAGTCGACATCCCTGATTCGATGTGCTCATCGGCAGCTTCGCCGCCATCGGCAGCAGCCGCCGTCAGCGCCTGCTGGAAGCCCACGGCACCAACCGCAGTCAACCGGGCCAAGTCGTTCTCGTAAGTCCGCACCCCCGGGAGCTGTTTCTCGGCTCCGTAAAACTCGGCTACGGATTCGAGAATGGCTTGCTCTGAAGTCGGGATAATGGGGTCCCGAGCCGAACAGGAAAAGATTACACGGGGAGTTCTGGTGGCTCCCAGGGGTAGTTTGTGGAAGGGGAGAGGGAACTTTCTGGAAAGAGTGTTGGTGCGAGAAGAAAAGAGAGGAGTGCCTGGAGATAGAGTATAAGCGAGCGCCATTGATGGAGCTCCGAGGTGGAGCAAGGGTTTAAATTGTTTGAAATGAGTCCAGCCAAACCGAAAGGGTTTTGTTTACTCAGGTTACTTAATTGTAGGGTCGAATTAAATCGGACACTGATTGAAAATTTAATTAGCTTATAGTTAAATTAGAGGAAAAAGTATACGTTAGAATTTAAAATTTGTGAGTATAATAGCGTTATCACTTTCAATTATTGATTATATTGATTATAACAAGTAAAAACAATCAATATTAGGTGTCGGATTATTTAGTCTTGGTTACTTTTGATCTCTAATTATAGTTTTTGATAAATTTTTATTAGAAAATGAAAAATAAACTCGTCATTTTTTTTAGAGTAGAGATAAAGTGTCAATTGAATAGTTTATGAATTGTTGATGGTAACCCTAGCTAAGTCAGTTGTCTTAGCAATTGCTCTCTCTCTCTATCTCACTTTAACTGTCGTATTTACCTCTGTATTCCTTATTTATTTATGAATTTTATTTTTGTGCTTCATAGTACTTAAAGTCTTAAATCGGTTGTCTTAGCAATTACTCCTTCTATATCTCTTTACATGTCATATTTAACTTTTTATTTTTTATTAGAAAAAGGATCAAATAAGCCGTTGAACTTGGAGCGAAAGTACAATTAAGCATCGAACTTTAAAATATGACAATAAAACACTCAAACTTGTCAAAATTAGTCAAATAAGTCATGTTTACTAATAACCAATAGGTTACTGGTAAAAGTATTGTCGTTGACCACAATTCATTTTTGTTGATTTCACTGTTCATCGTCGTTGCTGCCATTAAATCAATTATTCGTCGCCATTAAAAAATCAACATCCACTGAAGGTGACCAAATGGTCACTTTCTTCAGAGGATAAGGCGACACAAGTGGCACTCTCTACTGGAAAAGGTGATCATCGTCGCCTTTTATGGAGAAGGCGAACAATCAGTCGCCTTTTCCAAATAGAGAAGGCAACCGACAACAGTTATCAGTAGCTGGAAAATAACGTGTCGATGGACTTGCACATTTTTAAAGTTCGAGGACTTAATTGCATTTTTGTTTAAAGTTCAACGGCCTATTTAACATTTTTCCTTCTTTATTTATTTATAAATTTTAATTTGTATACTTCATAGTACTTTTAATTTAGTTTTTAATTATATAAATTTTGTATACTATACTAAATTTAATAACATGAAAAATTGAATTAAAGTAACTTCGGTCAAGTATTGTTAATCAAATCAGACATATAAAATTGGATGGAAGAAGCAAAAAAATATAAATTCAACTATCTATAGGAGCATCTTATTGGCATTATCAAATTAAACTTGTTGATTTACCCTAGATCAACCACTTTTGATTTACCCTAAGATCAACCACATTGCCAGCTAAGATCAGAAGAAAGTATTTTTCACACAAAGCACAACTTTGAATAGCAATCATGATGTTAATATAATAATAAATCAAATATAAAAACATATACGAAGTATAATAAAATGGTGGCAAGTCAAATAGTAATTAACTAGAGTGTGTAGTAATTATTGGGGGAGAATAAACCATTCGCCACTTCAATCACAATTATTCAGAGAGATTCAGCCATCATCATGGCCACAAGTCTACTATTGAGGGGGTAAAAAACCTATTTTTATCCCCAAAAGAAAGATTCAATGTTTAAACTGAATAATCAACTGGACAGTTGATATAATAGATAAACAAGAACCATCTGAGGACTCCATTATGATTAGCAAAAATCGCCATTACAGATTGAAAGAGCATTCAAGCTCGATAAATTTTTGTTCATAGCTCTGTACATTTATAGCAAGGAGTTAGAACTTCCGGGACACGAGTATAATCAAAGACATATAACCAGGAAGAAATACACTTCTTCACTGAGACTAAGGCGGGACGACTTCATAAACTTCTTCGTCTGCTGTGAAGCCGGGTGAAAAATGCGACTGATGTACACTAAACAGACGAGCATGAGATATGCAGATTCAGTTGAGTTTGTCAAAACCTGTATGATATTACGTTAGATAGTAACCACTCAGATTGTCAATAAGGTAATCGTAGGTTGCCCCGGGGGGATAACCAAACCCTTCAGAAACAGGAATCATTTGGTTTGGTATGGGAGGAATGCAACCGGTACTGTCTTTCAAGTTGGACTTCGCCCTACCTTTGACAGGGCGCTTGTTTTCGGGAGGGAATTCTGCGGTGAGCCTCACCATTTGCTTTTGCAGATCAACGACTGACTCGGTGCTTACTTTTCCTTTCGGGCTTTTCTTTCCATCCACGAGCTTTAGTTCCAATCGGTACAAAGCACAGGCATCGTACTTGTTGATTTCGTATTCATAGAGGTGCCACTCGAGGTTTTTCATTGGCTGTGGATCCATATAGTAAGATCTCTTCAGTCCTCCAAACTCGTTCATAACCTGCTTCCTTGATTCATGCCACCCACGGCCATTATAATCGGGCAATGACCTCTGCTTTCTATTTCCACTCTCGAATGCTCTTCGAGGCATATCAAAGAAAAGCCATTCCCGTATTGTTTCACCCTCAACAACTTTAAGGTCAAAGAGCTCTGCAAATCACGAGTAAACCAATTTGAATATGATTCCAAGAACATAAGAAGGAAGATAAATGTTTCAACTTTCAAAACCACAGAAACTCACCGGGTGCATTCCACGGGGATTTTGCGGTTGCTGCACCCTCACATTCAGGAATACCGACATCCTTCCCCTGCGCTTTAGCACTAAGAGCTTGGAAGAGCAAATTATCCTTTAAGCCAATACCCATTGGTCTTACAATTGGGGTATGTCCAGGGAAGCCTTCATTTGGAGCAAGGGAAGCGTGATAGTCACTGCAATAGTCTTGGGACTTCTGACACCAGTCTGACCCCATTGCAGGTCTCGGGCAATCCCAAAGTGCACATTTTGGCCCCAAGAAAGCAGAAGGTGGAGGACTAATATGAACTGCAGGCAAAGCATCCTCTAGGCAAAGATTCACACCATCAAACCCAGGGAAGTACTGTTGCCCGTAATCTTGTTGAAATTCATATGATTGATAATCTAACTGCGCCGGAATGCCCATATTATCAATTCCCACATTGTTGGCACCTATATGATTGCTCTTGCATTGATCAACCAACTGGAAATTTTGTGCCTGAAGCACTTGAGTTACATTGAGATCCTGTAACACATACAGTTGACTGCACATAAGTACCTTAACGCATCATCATCCTACCAAGCCCTTATCATGCAAAGAACAAAAGGCACACCGCACACTTTAAACAACAAAAGCAAAGAAAATGAAAACTGAGAAGAATAGAGCAAGCACTATAATAAAGAAATGATGAGTTAACAAAAGATCTTTTTTTTTTTTGTGGGGGGGGGGGGGCGTAGGAAAAACATAAGGGAAAGAAAAAGATATTTGCTTCTCGCCTTCTCTGACTCCAAAAAGATTAAAAGAACTGAAGAACATATTAATTACAGACCAAAAGTTGATGAAATGAAAACTGAATAAGCATTGCTGAATGGCTTTTATTGTCCTCTTCAAAAACTTGGTGTAGTGACTAAAACACTAGGCCTGTGATGGAATTTACATTTTCTCATAGCATGTACACGTCACAATATAAAAAAATTCTTAACTTGATAGACAGGTTCTATATACTCAAAAGGTCTACTCTGCAGTTTCTGCTTCTAATAATATTGCTCAAAAGAGTCCAGAACAAATATGTTTACCTCTTGATAACCAGTAGCACCAACCCTTTGTGCATCAGGTTCATGCTTCGGAGCAGCTAATGCACTTGTGGCATCATCGTCTTCCTCACCAAGCTGCACCAGTCTACAAAGGTCTGATGTGTTAAACCCCAGACTCCCTCCCTGCAAACATAAAGGGCAACACCCACAATCCAAATTTTACATTCAGAAATCAACATACAAGAAACACACAACATTATAAAATCAAACACAAGCTTAAAGAAATTTGCGAGCAAGAACGACTATACATATATTCAGCTTCACACCAACAATTATGCAGACATGCATCATGATCTATAATCTTCACATACTCTATGTGCCCATGGAAAACTCAGATGGTGATGGTAATAATATATGCAAGGGTAAATTGTAGGAATAAATATCTACTCCACAGCAAGAACATCTACTCTGTTAGCATAGTGTTGATCTAGGCATGTATTACGATAGTTGTTAGGACCACAATACCCAATCACACCTATGACACAATAGTCGGAACAGACTATTAGTATGGTGGGCAAAATGACCTATTCATTTAGTCAACAGAGATCACCATAGAAATTTGGTCATACCTGCAAAGAAGAAGCCGGGGAGGGCTCATTCAGCTCTGCCTTCCATTCGCGAAGCATCTGATTAAGCTGCTCCTCAAGTACTGCCACCTCAATAGTACGGCTCTCCTTCCTCAGAGACTGCAGATCAGTAAACATCCCTTGCAGATCATCTACCCGGTTCTTGGCCCTATCCTTGAAAATCTGGTACGTTGCTGACCTGCCCGCAATGCTCCTTGAACTCTTTCCCATCTGGAAACCCTCAATTCTTAACCTGCAAAATAAACACATAGACATCCTTGATCTCTGATATACCAGCTTGAATTACTCACTAAAGAAATTAAAAGCCCATGATCATACCAATAAGCAAATTGAAAATCTAAATACCCATCACACAAAGTTTGATCAAAACCCAACACCCAAACAAACCCAGTACTTAAAATATGAAATTTCGTTTTTTTTTTCAAGATAAAACCCCAGCAAAAGCAAGGCGATCTTGATTCATGAAGCGAGAATCACACCTACAAAACCCTAATTTCGGATGAGAATGCAATTTCAGTATTCCACTATCAAACTCCAAAGACTTCAACATAAAATTATTATTATAAAACAAAAACAAAAAACAATTGTACCAAAAGAAAACGCAGGAAAGTCCCCGAACTTACACCCAAGAGGAAAACAACAGCTCAAAAAAAAAAAAAAAAAAAAAAAAAAGCTACCAAACTGATAAGATTTCGGAGAGATGTCAGTACCTGTGGACGACGGCGGAATGAAGTATGGTATTGGGAGTGTAGAGAGAGAGAGAGAGAGAGAGAGAGAGAGAGAGATGTGTGATCTTCTTCTTCTCTTTCTCCAATTCCTTATAGAGTTATAGTTTGTGTGTTGAAGGAGAGAAGACTTGGTTTTCTACCCAGTAGCGCACCCAAAAAAGAATAAAGGGTAAATTTGTAAAATCAGAAATGTGGCACAGAATCTGCACCGCGGCAAAATAATGAAGACCCGCCGTTTTTTTTTTTTTTTTGCAATTAGACACCCAATTTAAAATAAGGTTATAAATTTAAGGTGTGTTTGAAAACTCAAAAAAATTCAGTAGTGCAGATATATCCAAAGGAGTATAAGACAATTAAATATTATTACATTTTTTCAACATGTGTAATGCTGGTCACATAATTTATGATATTCCAATCATTTTATTAAAATGATGAATTTTATAAAAATACTAGTTTTTTTATGCGCTTTACGCAAATGAGATAATGCCCAATGATTATTTTTAAATAAGTATTTCAAAGCATATCAATGCAATATTATATTGGAGATGTTCATGTATATTGTATAGGAATCTCTTAGTCTTAGTATATCTTGTATCTTTATTGGTTTGTTAATGATTAACTGATTTCCTAAAACCCATCTGGTATCAGATAGCCACGTATCGTTCCTTTCTCTCTCTCTCCTCTCACCTCCGATGTCGGGCGGCTCCGAGAGAACACTCACGGCGACCACTAAATGTCGACCACCACTTTGTTTCATTAAAACTAAAACCACGCAATTACCTATTTTGGAGGACACAAATCATACCGTTTCTCCGGGGGTCAAGGCTTGATCGGCTACGTCGATGGTGCGACGCCATGCCCATCGTCGATCATGCAAACTGCTGCCGGTGATGCCTCTGATGAAGCGGCGTCCACCACCGTGAACTCGGCGTATGGTGTTTGGATCCAACAGGACCAATCAATCTTATCCCTTCTCATCTCTTCCTTATCGTAGGAGGTGATGTATCTTGCAGTAGGACGGACGACATCCCAGGCAGTGTGGTGTGCCATTGAAACTGCTCTCGGGTCTTCAACGCAAGTGAGATGCCTCAATCTATTAGGCCAATTCCAGTCGCTGCGTCAAGGCGACTCACTTTTCGTCTCTAAGTTATCATTGGCGTTGCACTTTTCGTCCCTGAGTTATAAGGTAATTGTAAGATTTGTCGCTAAGTGTTGGTCATGTTCACTCTTCGTCTCTAAGTTATCATTGACGTTGCACTTTTCATCCCTGAGTTATACTAAAATTTCAAATGTTGTCCTTAATCACTACTACATAAATGGTATACTACGTCACTTAATAGACATCGGTCTTTTAAATAACCGTAATCTAATATATTGTGTTATACTATGTCACTTAATAGACGACAGTTGTTTAAATAACTACCGTATATAGTTGACATACACGACGGTTGTTTAACCGCCGTATATAGTTAACATACACGGAGGTTTCCAAAATCGCCGTTGAAAATGTATATTTACAACGGCAATCACTTACACACGCAATTCTTCGAAAACCGCCGTGTATGTGTAAAAAAAACCGCTGGTGGTTATTTACAGTGTATGATGTAAAAACAATTAATTAAGATATATACGGTGGTTATTTAAAAAGTCTCTGTCTATTAAGTGACGTAGTATACCATTTATGTAGTAGTGATTAGTGACGAAATTTGTAATTTTAGTATAATTTAGGGACGAAAAGTGCAATACCAATGATAACTTAGGGACGAAAAGTGAACATGATCAACACTCATGACGAATTCTACAATTACTCTATAACTAACACCAATGACAACTTAGGGACGAAAAGTACAATTTTTCCTTTAATTAATGTGTAATTTGTATTACTTAGTTATAATAATGAGTTAATACCCAAAATAGTCTATCGACTATGCCATAATTACCAATTTGGTCCTCAACTACCATTCTTACCCAATTAAGTCCTCAACTATGTAACTTTTACTCAATTAAGTCCTCAATTATACAATTCTTACCCAATTTAAATTGGGTAAAAATTGTATAGTTGAGGACTTAATTGGGTAAGAATGATAGTCGATGACCAAATTGATAATTACGACATAGTCGAGGGACTATTTTAGGTATTAACTCTATAATAATTTACAAATGTGTTAGGGAAACCAATAGATGAATATGAAATTTGTGTACCATAGCAATCATAAAAAATATTGATTACTACAAATAGAGAGTGATATATGTTAGTTCTATTAATGGATTACTTAACTTATAAAAATTATCTCTACCAAAAAAAAAAAAAAAAAAAAAAAAAAAAAAAAAAAAAAACTTATACAAATTATAAATATATTCTCTTTATTTTTAACAATTGACATTCTTATACCAGGTGGCTTGTAGTCCACTGGTATCGAATTGCTCCTTTATGTGGGAGGTCTAGGTTTTGAGCCTTGTTGTATGCATAATTTGTATGGGTATCCCCCTTCCTTGTAATAAAAAAAACAATTGACATTCTTATGGTCAACATAGTAAAACTTTATAGAAAGATAAGTGTACGGCTATGACTACTAAGAGCATAGCTTATATGGTTTATTTTTGTGGGTCTCACAAGAGAGATATAGTGCTGCGCGTTCCTGCAAGATATTGATTTTTTTTTGTGGGCCTCGCAAGAGAGGTATAGTGCTGCGCGTTTCGCACACTTACAGTGCCCAGTCGGCTGGTGCATTAATTTCTTTATTTTTTTCCTTTTATGTTAGGCCTACTTTTTTTTTTTTTTTCCTCTTTCTCATTCTTCTCTCTTCCTCCTCTCTCCTAATTAGCACAACAAAAACCACCAAAAAAAAAAAAATTACTCATATTAATGTTGCTTCTATGAATTTGTCAACTTTCATTAAACTTAGGATGTACATCAAGAACAAATGGCAATATTGGAAACCACTCTCTCTCTATTGTGGATAAACACAAATTGAATAACTACCCTAAGGTCCTAAACCGACCAAGACAAATTCCTTGTACAAATACACTGTACAAATGTACATCTCCACTAAACAAAGGCCTGGAATATGTTTGCAAAAAAATTATGCTCTCAGAGAATTATAATTAACTAAAATAAATAAATTGCCCTGCGGGGCTATATATTTGACCGGTCACCTTGAAATCTTGTTCCAATAAAATCATTAAGAGACCTTGACCGATCAGATAAAGAGATAAAGACTTCTTGTGTGCAGAATGTACAAACAAAGATAGAAACAGTGTGCAAAAATCACGCTTAAGCGCCGCCCGGCCGCGACAAGGAAGGCCGGAATCAGCCTCCTGCGCGTCCGGGCGGCTAGGCGGCCGCCTAGCCGGCGATTTATTTATTTATTTTTAGGGTTTAGGTTAAAAACTTTGCGAAGACATAACTTTTGACTCAGTTGTCCATTTTGGACAATTTTTTTTTTAATCGTGTCTTTTTTTTTGAAATCTACCCACCGCAAACGGCCAAAGGCGGTTTGCCCCACCAATTTCTCAAAAAAATGCTTCTTTTGCTCTTAATTTTAATTTTAATTTTTTTTTTTACGTATTTAGATGATTTCAACAATATTTTAAACAATTTTATAACCACTTAAATAAATAGTTTGTAAGAAAAAACGATGAGAACCTTATGTTTTATTAATGAATTGTGATAATTTTTTTTAAAAAATTAAAAAATCGGCACCTAGACGCTTAACGTGTTTTGCAACCTTGGATAGAAACATTGGGACTGACGGCCTGACGGATACCTAATGTATCAAAAATATTAATAAATAAATAAATAAAAAGATTCTCATCTCACCATTGTTTAATTCTCCATGAATTCCAGAATAGGACTTTACCCAATATTCTTGACATGGCAAAACATGATTGGTCCTTTAACAATTTTAAAGACACACACTTTGCTAGCAGCATCCTGATCCATCAATAGGGGAAGAAAAAGTCATTTTTTTTGTGTGGGGGAAAGAGATGAAGAGAGTAAGGAAGGCATAAAGGGCACACCCCACTACCCTCACCAAGATTCTCTGTAGTCAATTCTTGATGCACCTGGGGATGGAGCTGTATTGAAAGGACAAATGTATAAACTTTCCAGATAAGGAGCATCTGAAATCATCTCATCATCAGTATCCAATACCAGATCATGGGTTAAAGCAGAAATATAATTCCACATTTCATCAAGTTATTGTGCTAAATGTGCATCAGATAATATGAATGCATATCTCAAATAAAATGTGCTTGGTGATGTCAAGAATTGGGAAAAGAAGAAGCGTGAGCTCAACGAAACACAGGTCAAATATTATAAAATTTCTGGGTATACCGTATATCACAAATTGACAAAACAAAAAATGTGAGGGTATTCTACTTCTCCCGTTTTATAATTGTATGTCGTGAGGTGGCAAGAATGGCTACATCCCATCCCATCCCAAGTTTGAATTTATTTTTCCCCGATCACCAAGAGCAGAGTTTAGATTTCGTTTTCATTGTAAATGGGAAAGTAGGACCAAAGAATGGTAAAGAAATTGTGACACTTTGTGCACAGATCATGCAGGCGTTGCTGACTTTTCTTGTTCAGTCTGGGGATTTCTGTACTTGAACATACCAGCAAGCCCTCGCCCCCTTGCTAGCTGTTCAAGCTCTTGGATTTGGTGTTTAAGCGCTTCTATCTCCCTCGCTAGCTCATCCTCTCGTAGCCTCACTGCCTGTAAACAATACATTGAACTACAGCATTTGTATAATTTTCTTAAGAGTGCAAATTAAATATGCACCATAAAAACATAGCATGCAGATTAAATCCTGGCTATGGACATGCTGGAGTACGATTTGTCGATTTGTGTAGTGAAATGCAATACAAAGCTCTCGTATCAAAACTAATATAAGGGCATGAAATAAATTTAGAGTTAATACCCAAAATGGTCCTCGACTATAGTGGTTTTTCTCAATTTAACACCAAATGGACGGAATAACAAACGGAGGACTAAATTGAGCAAAATACAAAAGTCTGGTACTACATTAGGTCACCAAAGTCGTTTAGGACGAAATTGAGAAAAACCATTATAGTCGAGGACCATTTTGGGTACTAACTCAATAAATTTATATGCTGCCTCCTCAAAAGCTATTTCTGTCACTGGAAATTACAGCAAAATAACTTCAACATAGTGCTAGAAGCAGAGGGATTTTCATATCAAAGAATGTGAACAATGCAAAATCAATATATTCAACACCATACTCAATCATAGATAGAATTATACACAATGCTGAATTGGTCTAGCAAGTTTACATGGAAATTTATTTATCGAACAAAACTGAAGTTTTTATGTCCGCAGGATAATGCATGGACAATAATTTTGTCAAGAAAGAAGATACTAATAAGTGATACATTTGACATATTACCTCCATTTCTTTCCGACGGAGTTCCTCCTTCTTAGCTTCTGATCGAGAACTTCGCTGCACTTCAAAGATAAGAGCAGCTACACCAACCTATTCATAATTATTGTAAAAGTTAGATGTTATGCAAAATGCAGATGTTGTAAGTTCGAAATTGGAGCAGTGGTGTGTTGCTCAATAACTGTGTTATCACCAAAAAAAGAAGAAGAGTAAATATACCCTCCATTGACTAGCAATACGATTATAATCTTATTATGACCATTCAAATCATAATTCAACACAAAAACAAGTAGAATGTCAATCCTTGAACAGGAGAACCATATAGGGTGGAAATTCATACTACAAAACAAGTTTTTAACCTAGTGTTATATTTATGTGGGTTGTTTTTAGGGTTGGGGGTCAAAATTGAGATTTTGATTTGTTGATATGCCTATCTAATATGCTATTTACTGGTCGAGGTTTAAACAAAAGCACTGTATCACACAAGATTTGGACTGTAAACTCCTAAAAAGCCTCATTATGTGGTCTGCCAAAGTATGAAGAGGTAAAGTAACAAGCAGAAGAATTTTAGGGGGGAAAGGTTAAGTTATGGAAATGTTGTTTCTTGTTCTGTTCCATTGTTAACTGTTGAAATCACAAAGTATAAAGGTTTGGTCATGCTTCCTCAACCGCGCTCAATAGGGGAGAGCTTTTTATTTTTTATTTTAGTTTTTTATGCCATGCCCTAGAGTGTTTCCATTTGTTGTCGCATTGTTTTGAGGATGTTTGCATTTTGCTCCACTCTTTGGCATCTTCATTCTAGTGCTATGCACACTACACTGTTTTCAAGGCTATTCACATCCATAACTATCAGGGGCGGATTTACTATGGGGCAGTGGCCCCCCACTGAATTTTTTATTTTTGAAATTAGTATTGTGTATGTTTATATTTTTAAAATACAACTCCAAATTTGTACACTTAATTGTCTAATTGTATTTGTGATTTGTACATTTGTGAAACGTATAATGTGTGCTAGTTTGTGATTGATATCAAATTGTGAAATTTATAATGTAGATTAATTTGTGATTGATATAAGGTTTATATATTTATTTTTAGTCGAGTATTTGTACTTAATAATGTGTGTTAATTTGTGAGATTTATAATGTGTCATATGTGGTAATGAGCTTTAAATGATTGCTTAGTGTTTGTATTTTAAGAAGACTTTTTTTTTTTTTAATCATCAATCATGTATCAAATGAGACAATTTTATAGCAATTTCAAAACACAATAAAACATAAAGGAGCACTATCTCGTAGTTTGTCAATTGTCATATGTATATGTGTGTGTGTGTATTTTTTGATTTATAATATATTTTGTATTTGAACCATTTTATCTAATCAATGGTGTTCTATACTTTGTCATTAACATTTTTACCATGTTTTGAATTGCTTTAGTTTCGCCCCGACTCAATAATATGTATGGTCCACCATTGATCACTATCATCCTCTAACCATGTCTTTCTCTTTGTAGGTTTCGAGTGAGGGGGAGTATTGGTTTTTCGCTATGGTTTTGTAATTGTAAACTATATAAGCTTGAAATATCTATGTGATCTAGCTCGTGAGGGTGTTGAAATATAGAAAAACGTAGCTTAACCCTATCGTAGCCATAGGTTTAGACTAGTGAGCGGTGGCTACTCATTACCCACTAGACTTTCAATCCCATAGTTTCAAGGTTAATTTTACGTCCATGAAGTCAGGGTATTGGAGCATATATATTGGGCATATTGAAGATAGTAAGTTATAACAGTCAAACAGAGTTTTCTTACACCTGCTTTAAAAATTTGTCAGGATTTTCACTTTTTAATAGATTTAATGACTACAAACAGGCATTGAAAGAACTGCAAAGACACCTCAGGTAAAGATAAATGGGAAAGCACCTACCGAGAAAATAAAGAGTTCCCCAAGAAGGTCTACAGCATTTTGGACAGCTTTCTCCTCATTCAAAGGTCGTATTTCAACATCAGTTGCATGACCATATATACGTCTTTGCATTGTAGTTGTGATTCGGTGGTTTGCCTGGATTCAAGAATAACAAAAAGAAGAAGATGAAATTCCTCGTTAGCTAATAGACACATCAAGTTAAAACAACCAACGTAACAGTTAATTATCCTTAGAAAGATAGTTCCAAATTTTATAGGCCAATTGCTCCAGACCAACCACTGCTCTGCTAATTTAAAACCTCATCACATCTACTGCTGCTGAAAGAAATTAAGAATTACAAACAAATGGATCCTTGCCCATGTCTTGATACAAACTAATAACACTTTTATTACACTCTACTAAATACACCTCTTGATACAAACTAATAACACTTTACGATATGTGCCAGAAACATTAGAATGATGGTATGTGTCAGGGCTGCTTACGAAAGTTCATTAAACAACCAAACTCTTCAGTTAAGATAGTTAGCACAAGATGACTAGCATAAAATATTTTTTGGGTGGCGAGGGAAACCCGCAGCCACTACACGAGGGCCTGAACTAGGTAAACCCCCAGCCCACCTTATGGCCCTAACCAGCAAAGGACCACGATAAGGTAAATCAGTCTAGGTTTCCTTAAACTGAGTGGCTCAAACCAAGCAGGCCAATAGGTCGCTCCCATTAGGAGTCGAACTTGTACACTTGTGATTACCAAGTCAAAAGCCTTAACTTGGCTGGGGTTGCCCCAGCCTAAACCCCCAGCCCACCTTATGATCCTAACCGGACCGGCAAAGGACCACGAGAAGGTAAATTAGTCTAGGTTTCCCTAAACTAAGTGGCTCAAACCAAGCAGGCCAATAGGTCACTCCCATTAGGAGTCGAACTTGTACACTTGTGATTACCAAGTCAAAAGCCTTAACTTGGCTGGGGTTGCCCCAGCCTAAACCCCCAGCCCACCTTATGATCCAAACCGGACCGGCAAAGGACCACGAGAAGATAAATTAGTCTAGGTTTCCCTAAACTGAGTGGCTCAAACCAAGCAGGCCAATAGGTCACTCCCATTAGGAGTCGAACTTGTACACTTGTGATTACCAAGTCAAAAGCCTTAGCTTGGCTGGGGTTGCCCCAACCTAAACCCCCAGCCCACCTAATGATCCTAACCGGCAAAGGACTACGAGAAGTTAAATTAGTCTAGGTTTCCCTAAACTGAGTGGCTCAAACCAAGCAGGTCAATAAGTCGCTCCCACTTAGAGTCGAACTTGTACACTTTTGGTTACAAAATCAAAAGCCTTAACTTGGCTGGGGTTGCCTCAGCCTCCAAGCATTAGCATTTAATATTTCTTGTTAGCCAAAGAATAGCACTTCAATTTCACCTTGTGTGAACTACATTTCTACTAGTACCCACTTATTTATAAATAAATAACACATTTTTCCCAGTTAGCCAATGCCTCCTCCAGATTGAATTCAACATACAAAGTTCAGTCCACTTAATCAATGCTTTCATCTACAAAAAGCTTTTCTTTTTCTTTATTTCCTCCGCCTAACAGTACAAGAGAGCTGAGTTTACACAAAACACTTCTCCATTTCAATGCCCAACAACAAATTAAAACATAATTAGTGTAACGATCAAGCAATCCTATAAGTTTTAAGCTATAAAAACAATGCATATAACCATATGTACTCATAAATGAAATTACCTGAGCAAAGCTGACGATTAAATTGCGGAACGTAGGGTGTCGCCCGGCTTCCTTCTTGAGCCGACCGGCAATGGGTTTACTCAGAGTCTTCAACGCAAGCGTTCCGAGCTTCAAAAGTGGCAGTACCATTATTCACTCCTCGAATCAATCGTCGTCTCTGTATATCCTCGATCTTCGGATTCTAAGCAATCACGAAACGCAGACGCCCATTTCTCCGCCGATCCATATATTTAAACGACGCGGCAGAGCGGAAACGAGTAATGGAAAAAAGGGGGTTGACTGAATCAGGCTGCGTTGGATTTCTTGGTAAAGAAGCCAAAATCCGTGTGGGATACGCTCAGCCAACAACGAAGAAGATACATATAAGCGAGCCGTCATTTGATGATCTTTGGTTATTTATATCCCAAGTCTTGACTCGATTCAGATCGACTGATTGTTGGGTTGCAGAGTGTTGACCCGAAATTTTGGTATCGGGTTTCGGTTGGGCACTATGCTTCAAAAATTTTGTTACGCTATAACTTTGGGGCAAAACTCATTAAAATTACAATTGACACTATGGTATGGTATTGCCCCAAACACTTTTAATAATTATTTATTTGTAAGACTTAAGAATATGAATAATGATTAATGACAAAATTTGATTATGGTTATTGTAAAAATAGTTTTAATTATATGAATTATAATTTAGCAATTTTTGATGAAGTTAGCTCATTGTTCAACTTATTGATGAGTATAAGGAATGAGACGTTAAGTTACGACATATCTACCGAGAGAAAGTTTATTTCATTATTTGGTTGGGTTTAAAATTTTGATTGAATAATAATAATTATATAGATTAACGTATCCCTACATAATAAAAATGATATTTGATGGATCTCATGAGGCACGCCCTAAGGATAATTAAAGTAAGTTAGTGAGATTGGCTTGGGGGAGTCTGTGTTTATGAAAGTGGATGTGAGTATTTTTCTTCGAAATAGGGGAACATTTGGTAGCGTAAAATGGAGCATAACCTAGAAGTGTGGAAGGGATGGGCGGTGTACTCAAACCATGAGGCGTACTGGTGGTGAGTTTTTGGGGGGTGGTTGATGATACATCGACGTGTGGATGATTGTTTGGCGATAAAGCTTGGCACATAGCAAGAGACACATATGGCTATGAAAGACAAAGTGATATGATGCATATATCCCAACACATGCAACCCTTGGAGTATTATAAAAGAGGTGGGGGTAATGTTAAATTCGTACCATTATCATATTTTTTTTATTGACTTCTGTTAGTCAATCATGTAATGTGTTTTTTTCTTGACTTCTGTTAGTCAATCATGTAATGTGTTATTAACCTTTACGTGTTATGCTCACTCAAAATCAGCACAAATGCAATTAAAATAATATGTAAACTCTTGGTCTTCGTTTGGCCTTGGATTTCCATTTAAATTCCATAACACTTGCACATGTCCAATAAATAGTTATCTTAGCTTATTATTCTTTGGATCTTGTTATTGGCCCAAATAACACTCGTAATGAATCCATATGATATGTAGTTGGAATACATTTTTTTTCATATTATTTATGTTTTTGTCTTTATATTATCTCTGGTCTATTTTCAAGCTAATTTTTGAATTATTATGACTACCAACATCAACATCATCACCACCGCCTCCACCATCACGTAGGCTAACCCCATCTCATAAATTTCTCGCACTTTCTAAAATGGGTCCCACTTCCACATCATCAATTTTACATATAATAAAATAATATTAAAAGAAATAATAAAAATAAAAAAGACATCAAAAGCTGTGCAGACTGTCATTTTCAGCAACTTTTGCAACTTTATTTCTCTTATTTATAATTTAGCAAACTCTCTCTCCCATTTCACATCAGCATAAAAAAAAATGTATTATCTCTCTTCCATGTCACTTAGAAAGGAGTAAAATTTATGGGATGGGGTTAGCCTTTGGGTATGCATTCAGTTAACCAAATCGTTTTAACCAAAATTTTTAATGTTTTAACCGTTAATCGAACCGCACTTTGTATTATCAAAGTAACTGAATCAATTTATTTTTTTCACCATTTAATCGGCCGATCAGTTAACTAAATAACCAAAGTTTTTTAAGCTACATTTTTAAATAGTTAAAATAATACATTTAATAATAAATCCAACAACTTCAATACCTATAATAATAAATCATAACTTCAATCCAAAAGCTAAAGTCCAAACATCCACAATCAATAGGATTTCATTGTAATTTTCGGAATGTTACATTAAACAAAAAATTAGTTAATCGTTCGGTTAATTTAGTTAACCAATATTTTCAAATCAAATTAACCATTAACCAAACTTTTACAAAACCTCTAACAATTAATCGAACTGAAGTATTTCGGTTAAAAAATGGTTAATCGAAATTATTCAGTTCGGTCGATTAATCAAACTTTCACCCAAGTTTGCACACCCCTACTACTACTTATTATTATTATTATTATTATTATTATTGTTGTTGTTGTTGTTATTATTATTATTATTATTATTATTATTAGTATTATAACAAATAATATGTTCATTTTTAGAAAAATTAACTGAATAGAAAAAATGTAAATGACGTAACTCACAACCAAACATAAAAATATAGTTTTATGACATATAATCGACCATTAGAAAATTTAAATAATTTTTTTAAAATGAGTCATTTTTTAACATTATGTTATAAAAAATATATTTCAAAATTTTTAAAGTATTGAATAAATTGAAGAATTCGTTATTTCTAGTTTGATGTTTTGGTTAGTTTGAAAAGTGGTAATTAAGAAATTAGTTAATTTGCATTGGTTGCAACAAATGCTAATGGCAAGCTTACCTTTCTTAGAGCATCTCCAACCCATCTATTTTCAAAACACCAAATTTTTTTTTAGTAAATGTCACATCAGAAGGAATATTTTCAACATATTCTCACACCAAATTTTATTAATCTCCAACCCATTTACACAAAAACACCAAAATACCAAATTTTTACACTAAAATAATTTGATTTTTCAATTATTATTTCGAATTTAATTAGTTTAATATAACTTGTGATGTAAATAATAATTTTTATTAACATTAATATTTTTATAACATTAATTATTTTTAAAAATCAAATTTAACAATATTTTAAAAAATTTAATTTATTCCACAATAATAATATAGCATACAACATCTAGTATATTAAATTACATATGTTGTATGTATTTTAACTTTTATTATGTTCTATGTTTGATGTATTTGAAATTTTAATTAATATATATTCAATATTAGTCTTGTTTTGATCGTCTCACTGAGATCTTTAAAATGGTATAAATTTTATTTAATTATACAAACTTTAAATATAAGTATTTAGCAAAATAAAAAATTGCATATAAAACAAATAAAGGATACAATTGTAATTAGAAAAAAAAAACAAGGGCAAAATGATACATTTTCTACACTGTTCATTAACGCCAAACATTTTGGTGTTATGGAATTTTACAGACTCACATTGGAGTTGCAAAAATGATGATATGAGGTTAAAATTTGAAAATTTGAAGCCCCATTAAAGATGCTCTTAGTACCCCTACCAATTAGTTGAAACTATCGGTACCAATCATTTAAATAGTCATTTACATATTGTTTAGTGTTTTTTTTCTTAAAAAAAAAAAAAAAAATCCAGGGTGGTAATTTGCCAATTAAAATGCAAAGTTTCCATGTCATCAATCCGCAGAACCATCATGCACTACCGTCGATTAAAAATCTAATCTTATTGAAACTAGCGGCTCGCATCTTTTCCTTCATGTCCACGTCATCGATCCTAAGAAAGTTAATCTCATTCGTCAATCACCACAGATAATCAACGATCACGATTTCATAAATTACATATTTATTTCCCGGGTTCCCGCTTCACTTTTCAAACCGCCCTCCTATAAATCGCACCCAAATTCACGGAAAATTTCATCAAGTCCGAATTCGTTCACTGATTTCAGTCGTTTAGATCCTTTGAGCTTTAGAAACCCTAGATTGTCAATGGCTCGTACGAAGCAAACCGCCCGCAAGTCCACCGGAGGCAAGGCGCCAAGGAAGCAGCTAGCCACTAAGGCTGCTAGGAAGTCGGCTCCGGCCACCGGCGGTGTGAAGAAGCCTCATCGTTTCAGGCCAGGAACCGTGGCTCTCCGTGAGATCCGAAAGTACCAGAAGTCCACCGAGCTCCTGATCCGTAAGCTCCCGTTCCAGCGCCTGGTTCGTGAGATCGCTCAGGACTTCAAGACCGATCTCCGCTTCCAAAGCTCCGCCGTGGCCGCGCTTCAGGAGGCTGCTGAGGCCTACCTTGTCGGACTGTTCGAGGACACCAATCTCTGCGCCATTCACGCTAAGAGAGTCACAATCATGCCGAAAGACATCCAGCTCGCGAGGAGAATCAGGGGAGAGAGAGCATAAATGCAACATCGTAGATATTCTAGCGGCCGAAACCTAGATGTGCAGAGGCCGGGAAATTGTTTTAGTTCAGAGCACTTATATCTAATCTCACCTCTTTCTATGAAATATGACTTTTGATTTCTCGAATCTGTGGTTTGTCACATCAAATCTATGAAATATGACTACTGATTTCTGTGAATTCTCCTACACCTCACTGCTCCATATTTTACTAATTGATTCAAGGAAATCGACTGATACTATTACTAATTTCTCGAATCTGTGGTTTGTCATATGAAATCCGTTGGAATTGATTGATACTATTACTAATTGATTCAATTCTCTCCGTGGATATGATTTTGTTCTATGCAAATTGCTAACGTTTTTCTATAATTTCTTCCCGTCTTCATCTCTTTGAATCTGCTCAGATGATCTGACTAATGCGTTATTATGTTTTTGCACTGTTCATTAGATAAATTTAATGTGCGTTCACTGAATCTGCATTTGCTGTTTATGCTCCTTCATTGCAGCTTGTTTTGAATTACATGATGTTGATTTGTATCAAGTTTTTCGTATCAAATATTCAGGTATGATTTGAGGTGGTATTAATTTTTTGTATTTTTATGCTTTAGTAAATTGAGAAAATAGTTATGAACAAATATTATAGTATTTGTTTACAATGTATTCTAACAAGTTATAAAATGACAAACGGAAAGCGAATATCATTCAAAAGGTCCCCCATTTACCACCGAACAAGAATAGCCCATTCAATTATATATACATATAGACAAAGAGTTGATTGAAGTGAAGACAAATCCACCGCCCAAACTCTGCATTTTGGCGTTTCACCATTTTCGCAGTATCTGCTGATTTTCCTCCATACAAAATCCCATAGTTTTGGGTTTCCAGCACATCACACCATCAAATTTCCAGATTCAATTCCACTCTTCACCAATTTCTTGATCCATTCATTTCATTCAAACTCTAGAGATTTGAATTTTCTAAAATGCTAATTGAGACTAATGTTTGTTTTACAGTCACATATGACATTTGCTGATATTGATTGACATGATAAAATGCTTATCGAGACTAATGCTCAATTTGAATCATAGATTCAATTCAGTTTCTAAATTGTTTAGAATTGCAGCCACTTGTACAATAGTAGGCCTACTTTTCCTAGAGTTTCCAACACAAGCTGAAGCCACTTTAGCCAACCTAACAAGAGGGTTAATGTCACAAGGAATTGCAATTCTAGGATCCAAAACCTCACCAAATCTCATTTCTTTAATCAAAGGCAAAGCCCACTTCACAAGTAACCCTTCTTGACTCTTTCTTCCACTCAAAAGCTCCAACAAAACCACCCCAAACCCATACACATCACTCTCCTTTGAACCCCCTCTCCCTTCCACCCAATACTCTTCATCAACATACCCTATAACCTCTTGTCTCTCATTTGATGCCAAGAAATATAGCCCATAGTCACATAATCTAGCAGAGAATTCCACATCTATCAAAACATTCGATGCCTTCACGCATCCGTGGACTATATGCGGTACCATTCCTTCATGAAGAAACTCCAACCCACGCGCCACCCCGGCGGCCACCCTCAGCCGCCGCGACCAGTGGAGGAGCGCCGCCGCGTCGGGGTTCTGGTGGAGATAAAACTCCAAGCTCAGCATCCCGCCGTACTCCATCACCACGATTCTTTCTCCGGGAGCCTCGGAGAAGCCCAGAATGGGGACCAGGTTGGGATGATCGGCCAACGACAGCCACCGGAGAACCGACGAGAACCCAAACCCGGCGGCGTTGCTCAAAACCAACCGCGGGTGGAATCTTTTCACCGCCACCAGCTCCCCTTCCGGCTGCAGCACCCCGGAATACACCACCCCCAGCCGCCCTTTTCCGATGATCCTCCGCGGGTTAAACCCATCCGTGGCGGCGTCCATCTCCATCAAAGTATACGCCGCCGCACTTAGCTTCGCCGCTTTATGGCAACCAATCCCCTCATCATCATCATCCTCAACCGCAGGCCTCTTCTTCTTGCAGCATACGAAGAGAAGAACGCCGAGAATTATGAGGGTGATGGAAAGAACAACCAACACAACATCGTACACAACAATTATAGCCTCGCCGTGCTTCATTTTTGCCGGCGTGCAGTGAGAGAGAATTTTTTTTTCTTGGGAGAATTTTGTTTGTTGTATTGTTTTGAAGCTAAGCTAAGAGGCTAAGAATGGGGTTAGAAGAAAAATTGATTTCTTGCCGACTCATAAAACAATGGACTGTTGTGGGTTGGTAAAGAAAGTCGGAAAACTTGCAATTTTAGTTTTCGTGTTGGCAGCTAATATATGTGAATTATGGAAAATTGACGCAAGGAATTATATATATGAGCTATTATTATAAGTAGAAAATTAGAGCGTTAGTTTTTAAATAAGATAATGATTGCCATTTTCTATTAATAATAATTTTTTTGACATACACTAACACGTGCTGAGGTTTAAACCTTTGTCTCTTCTCCCAAATGTTGTCTACTGATTTTTGCAGGCAAAATTTTTCTTTCTTTAATTTATAAATTTAGTGATTATTGAAAAATGGAATAAAGGTCAAATTGACCCATTAAGTCAACTGAATAGCACAATTGGGTCCCTAAGTAAAAAATGTTTCATTTAAGTTTTCTACACAGGTAAAATTGTTTAATTAAGTCTAAATTGACTTGTTTAGTAGGTTAAGTTTATATGATGTTGACATGTATCTTTTTTATTTTATTTTTTAATACAACCATGGACGTGACTGTCCGCCGAGATTCAAGAGAAATGGCTCTTGAGAGGTCTCATTCACCAAATCATTAATTTCATCAAAAGAGTAAAAAGAGAAATTCAGGAGAATCAGCTTCCGAACCATTTTGGTGGCGGATCGACTGGCTTGCATGGACGCTTCGCAGGAGGTGGACTGGTGCGTCTTTGAGGCTCTTCCGGAGGGGTTGAAGAACCTTGTTAGTTGATGATGACCGGATGTGTGCGTTTGTGACATGCCGCGTGCTTATTTAATTATGTAGGTTGTTCAGCTTGGGGTTTCCACCCCCTTTTGATTAAAAAAATAATAATTTATTGACTCTTATTAGATTTGTGTGTGTGCGATTCTATGTAAGAAGTGAGAACTGATATGATATGATTCATCAATTTTGGTATATCAACGGTTAAGAATTACTGAAAAATAAAGAGAAAATTAAAATGGACAAAAGGCAGAAGGCAATAACATTTCTATAATTACGACATGATCCATCCATTTGGGTCTCCCATCACTTTTGTCTTTATTTTTTCGGCAATCCTCAATCGAAAATATATTCAAATGGATAAATCAAATTAGTCCTCTTCTTTTACTTGAGAATCCGTTTCTTATATATATATATATATATATATATATATATATATATATATATATATATATATTACAATTATAAAAATATCTTGCATCTTTTGATCATTTGAAATGAAGGGATGATATTAATCCATACATTCTCATGACCATTATAGGCTACTAACTCTCACTGCACATGCATGGCCCTAGACTTCCTTGTCCCATAAGTATAAATATATATACACACACTTCACTATTTATTTATTCATTTACCTTGATCAATGAGACAAAGAAGGCCGTGTTGTGGGGGGAATATTGTTTTATCTGTTTTTAAAATTATTATTATATTAATAATTGTTTAAAACCGATAATTTCCCCATAAATTCAGTTCTGTTGTCTCCTTATAATTTAAATTAAATTGTTGAAGTTCGCACACAACTTGAGAGACAGACAATAACATGCATGGACACCAAATACATGCATAAATATAATTATTTCTTTAAACAATTATTACACTGCAAGTTCTTGATTGATAGATAATGAATGCATACAAAATAATCATTTAAAAAAACAAATATTCTCTATAAAAAAACACACAATTTTATAATAGAAAACACATAATTTCATAACTGAAAACACAGCATTATATAACAGAAAACACAGAATTTTATACCTGAAAACACAAAATTTTATAACTGAAAATTCCATGTTTCGAATGTACAGAGTTATATATAATAGAAAATACAGAATTTTATACTTGAAAACACATAATCTTTTTTAAAAGGATAAAAATCTCCTGTGTTCGAATGTATAACATTTTATAACAGAATATAAAACCTCGTTTTAGAAGGTGCGGGGCGCACATAGCTGTGTACGGTATAACGATTGCAAATCGGTACAATTTAACCCAATAGCCAAGTATAAACCAATAAAATATGATGTGGAGCGCTGATGTGCACACTTTTTTTTTTTTTTTTTTTTTTAAATACATTTATTTATATAAAAATAAATAAATAAATTGTTTTTTCTTCCCTTCTACTAATGATATACATTAAATTATGTTTGACCAAATTCGAATTTTTAATTGTAATATTAAAAACATGTACCATTAATATTGCCATGTAAAAAATATAGTTACAACAACCATGTTTCCTTTCAACCACTCACACAAAAGTTCAAACGTAAAATGCTGAATACCAAATTCAGTTGAAGCTCAATTACCTACCCAATATATTATTGACCCCTTTCCCATTCAACTTTTTGTTGACCGATTCCATATCTTAAATTCAACAAATTTTGCACCCATATGGCCATATGTACTCACACTAAGTGTAAAATTAGGAGTAACGCTTCTGTGATACCGTCTCACATATCTTTATTTGTGAGATAGATCAAATTAATATGCAAATGTAATACTTATAATAGCAAATGTAATACGGAGTACTAAACATTATACTTCATATTGACCCGACCAGTCTCACTGACAAAGATCCGTGAGACGGTCTCACACAAGTTTTTGTGTAAAATTAGTGCATTAACCAAATTATCTATTAAAAGAAATAGAAAAAAAATACATTTACTTTGATTTCGTTAAGCGATCTGCGAATTGTGCTGCCCATACGCTAGCTCGGGAAGCCGTTTCGGTGTCAGTTGCGGGGAGTGATTTGACAGTCCTCCCCATTATCTTGTTCCGATTCTTTTCTCAGATTTAATGAATTAATCCCTGTTCTTCAAAAAAATATATAGGGAAAATGACACTTTTTCCCCTGTGTTGTTTACTAATAGCACTTTTTTCCCCTGTGTTGTTTATGTAACCACTTTATCCCCTCAATTGTTTTTGAAGTGGCTATTTTCTCCCCCCTCTCCGTTAAATAAGTGTTAGAGATGTTAAATATGAAGGTAAAAATGGCATTTCACTTATTATTATTATTATTATTATTATTATTATTATTATTATTATTATTATTATTATTATTATTATTATTATTATTATTAATGAATTTGGTTTGCAATATAACTGTGCATTTTAGACGTGAAGTACTGCAATATATTAGGGCGTTGGGTGGGACTTATTATTATTATTATTAGCAATGAATTTGGTTTGCAAACTGCAGTATATTAGAGCGTTGGGTGGAGTCGTTCATTAATAATAATCTAAAAACATAATAAGTGTCAATACAAGTTATGTCCTTGATTTTTGTCCCTTTTTATATGCTAATAAATGTATACATTGTGCTTTAATTGTTGTACATTCATTTGCATTGGACAAAATTACCCTTACACCGTTATAATACCGTTAGTTTTTAATGTATCTACCAATCTTACCATACACCTACCTCTATCATATCTTTTTCCTATTTTTAATTATAATTTTATTAAAATGATCATATAACAATTAATTTAATTATAAATTATATTTTAATTAAATATTTATATGAATGTTAAATTTTATATATATATATATATATATATATATATATATATATATATATATATATATATATATATAAAATATGTATGTATATTATTTGTGTATCCATATCAATATATCATATATGTGAGTGTTGCTTAGTATTATTTGTAAATTATTATTATATAAAAGTATAATTTTTTTTTTTTTGTTTTGATCACTATATTATTCAAATATATGATAATTCAAAAGTATCATCAGTTTAAGAAATTGCTAAACATAATTTTAACTAATTTTTTAAATTTTGTTACTTACAAATATTTTAATATTGGGCATAAGTTTTCGCGCATCGCGCGTACGAAATGCTAGTAATAATAATAAGGCTCAAGTGCCAAATAGCACCATGAACCAACAACGAAATGTCATCCCGCACCATAATCTTATATAAGTGATTATTCGATTCACAAACCAAAAAAAATTATTCACCTAGCATTTTTTATAGGTTACCCTCAAGTTAAAGGTTATAAGTCGGTGACGTGGCGCTGACTTGGGTGCGATGTGTCGTATTTAGTAGATGTGGCAGAGATGTGTATTGATGTGGCATCCATTATTTAGGATATTAAGTCAGGCGATCCAAATCCCAAATCCCAAGTCAGGCGATAAAAAAATGTGTATTAATGTAATAATTTAGGCGATCCAAATCCCAAATCGACAAAAGAACATGGTCCAACAAAATTTCTTCGATTCTCTTCCTCATAATCGCAATCCCGAATCGCGACTTGAAACCAAATCCTTAATCGCAAACCGAAATCCGTAATCGCAAACCCAATCGCCTAGTTTAAGCCCTAAGCCCTAATCTGTAATTTTAGACCTCAAAGACACCACCATCTTCTTTATGTCTTCATCCTCACCTTCAACCCTTCGTGCACTGTGATCCTTCTAAAGAAAAAAATCACATCCATTGCCATCCTATACAATGAACAAACCGTAGCTTTAATTACCAAAATCAAATTAATTACCAAAGCTATCAAATTACATATATGCAGTGCTATCAAATTACCAAAATCAAATTAATTACCAAAGCTATCAAATTGCATATATGCAGTGCTATCAAATTACCAAAATCAAATAGCCAAATAAAATACCCAAACAACGAACAAACCCTAGTTTTAAATTGCAATACAATTGAAAACTCAAAATTCATACAAAATTTCACTAACTACGTACCTTCCATCTTTGACTCCCAAAGAATTGCTTTCCCGATTCTCTACTTGTGCAAATTGGAGCTTTCAACCCACAATTACAATACACACTTGGCTCGTACTCCATATTTACTCTAACACGTGATGAAGTTGAGGAAGAAGACATCTTGTAGAGCTGTGGGTTCGATAGGAAGAAGAAGAAGACGACTGGAGCTTTGCGATAGGAAGAAGAAGAATGCGTTGTTGGAGCTTTGCGATAGGAAGAAGAAGAATACGGCTCTGTAGCTTTCCGATAGGAAGAAGAATAAGAAGACTCTGTTATAAATAAACACAATCACTTCCACGTCATATTTTTACCGGAGCCATGTCACCAAGGCAACAGGGAAACCTGTAAAAAATACTAGGTGAACAAATTTTTTTAGTTTGTGAATCGAATAATCACTTATGTAAGATTAGGGTGCGGGATGACATTTCGTTGTTGGTTCGTGGTGCTATTTGGCACTTCACCCTAATAATAATAATAATAATAATAATAATAATAATAATAATAATAATAATAATAATAATAATAATAATAATAATAATAATAATAATAATAATAATAATAATAATAAGTAGTGAAATGTCATTTTCACCCTCATATTTAACAACCTTAACACTTACTTAACGGAGTGGGGGAAAAATAGCCACTTCAAAAATAATTGAGGGGGATAAAGTGGTTACATAAACAACACAGGGGGAAAATGTACTATTAGTAAACAACACAGGGGGGAAAAGTGTCATTTTCTCAAATATATATTAAGAAATAGACAATGGAGACAAAAAAATTGAAAAATAGAAAAAGAAAAAATTAGAGAATTGAGTAAATATTGATGATAAAAAATTATGTATATTGGACAAGAAGTAGATCAGAGAAGGAAATTGTGTTAATAAAGTGGCATGAAAGTATGAAACCTTTTTAACATCACACAATTGGGTTTAGAACATGAGCATGGAAGTGAATGTTAAAGTGTGTAAGAGTAATAAATCAACATATGTTCTATGGGCAACATAGTTGGACTTGTATAACATTCTTGAACTAATCATAACACTCAATTGGGGGCAAATTATTATCTGGACCGGTCCATGTTGCAAGGTGAATTTAGGTTAAAAAATAAATAATTTATATACTGAATATTTACAATTTACATACTGAATGTTCACAATTTTTATATATTAAATGTTCACAATTTACATATTGAATATTCGATCACAATTTGAATTGTGAATATTCAGTATGTAAATTGTGAACATTCAGTATATAAATTGTGTATTTTGACTTGAGTTCACCTTGCAATGTAAATCCAGGTCCATTGCATAATTTGTCGCTCAATTGGGTGAATGGGCTTGAACATAGAGGTTGAAAGTTTGGAGTCAAAATGTAAAGAAGAGAGTAGTATGGATCAAAAGATGGATATGCATAAAGTTCAACATTTCAAGGTGTAATGGTGAATCCTTAACCAAATGTCATAGATTCAATCCTTAGTTTTGGATATAAAGCAACCTTAAATTTTCAGGTCAGCTCTTTTACTCAGAAAAAGGAACTTACAATATTAATCACTGTATTCAGCGATAAGAATCATGGGTACCAAAAAAAAAAACAGACCACATGACTTTCTTAAATCACCTGTATTATTTCTCTTTAATTTGGACATCTATACTAATTTGTTTAGAAATTGTAATATCTCCTTAGTTGGGCTTGTATTCGAGACCTACTTAACATCATTTTATTACAAATAAAAAAACACCCTTTATTCTAATACTTTATTCGTTTACCCTTTGTACGTGATTATTGTCAATTTTATCCCTAGTCTATAATGTAAGATGACTCTGGTCCTGGTCCATATCTATAATGCAAGATTTTTTTATATTGATAGGAAGGGATATCCAATATAGTACACATATTACATGTTTCGAGCGTTGCGCCAGATGGGGACTGATAATGTATCATCCTCTAAAAGTCCAAGAAGTTCTATGGGTGGACTACTAAACAGGTGTATACCTCTGGTGAAACGGTGTGATATTTTTGCTAGGCAGTCTGCCACTTGGTTCTGCTCCCGAGCTATTGATGTTACATGCCAAACTTCGAAATAGCGGAGTTCCTTCTTGCATGCTTCTAAGACATTATGCATCGCCGTAGTGGGAAGGAAATTGTTGTTGATGTAGTCCGGTAGTAGTGAAGCGTCACATTCAAAGAGAGCCTTTCTGTATCCCAAGGAGGCTGCAAGTTGTATTCCTTTTAAAAGGGCCCATGCTTCTGCTTCCGGTGGTGAGCAGCAACCGATGTTGTGTACATAACCATATATCCAATCTCCGGTGTTATCCCGAATTACTCCACCACTTCCTGCCTTCAATGTGATGGGATTGACAGATCCATTTACGTTGATCTTCACAAAGCCTCCCTGTGGTTTAGTCCAACAAAGTTTGCTCCATGTATAGCAGTTTTCCATGGTGCCTGGTTTGCCTGCTCTTGCAAAAGCAGATTCCACTTCCTTAACTTGTGATTTTATCCAAGCTATCTTAAATTGCAAGGGTTTTGTGGCGGAGTTAAAAATGGCATCATTTCTCCATTTCCAAATCCACCACGCAGTTATTGCACAAGTGGTGTTGACGCTTGATTGATTTCTGCCATCATGCTTCATAGAGATGCTATCATCGAGCCATGTAGAGAAGGGAAGGTTATCTGGCTGGAGTCTAGGGAGGCCAATTGCATTCCATACTTCCGCTGCAACAGGGCATTTACGGATTACGTGGTCTACGTCTTCAATTATTTCGGTGCAGTGCCAACATTTGTCGCTATCCGTGAGTCCGCTTTTAGCTCTGTTCGAATTGGTCATGATCCTATCATGCTTAAGCAGCCAGATGAATAAGCGAATTCGGTTTGGAACTTTGAGTTTCCAGATGCGCTCCCATATTTTTTCCTGCTCGATTAGTGATTCGCCAATAGCAATATTATAGGCGGAGCTGACTGAGTATATTCCGGATGCTTCTTTGGACCAACCGGGGCAGTCATTGAGTTCAGGATCTTCATTGATTATAAAACCTGCTAATCTGTCGATTGCGGAATTAGGGAGAAAATTAGCTACCTGTTCCCATCTCCATCCTCTTGCTGGTGACCAATAACTCGCAACTGACCTTTGCAGCTCATATTCCGGGACTTCACAATTGGTAGTCTCGATCAGGGGGTTGTCCCAGAGCCAGGTATCGGTCCAAAAAGCAGTGTTCTTGCCATTTCTCACATAAATTCTGACTCCCTTTTTAAGGATGGGGACTGCTCGGAGGATTCCTTTGTAGGCATTGGACATATTTGTTTTGGCAGTCCATGAGCTACAATCGTTTGAAGATAGTCCATACTTTGCTTTAAAGATTTTGATCCAAAGCCGGTCTTCATTATTTAAAATTCTCCATCCAAGTTTAGCTAAGAACGCGAGGTTCATTTGTTCCAACTTCCGGATTCCCAAACCTCCATGACTTTTGGATTGTGTTATTGTATCTCATTTCACCAGATGTGCTTTCTTCTCCCCATCTTTGCTACCCCACAGAAAGTTTCTGATTAGTTTTTCAATGGTCTTGATGATCCCTATTGGTAGTAGCGAAGACTGCATGGCAAAATAGGGAATTGCTGATAGTACTGATTGTGCCAAGACCTGCCTTCCGGCTAAAGATAAGGATTTGGCTCTCCATCCCGTGAGTCTTTTTCGGATGCGTTCGATTAAATCGGTGAATGTCTCGCTGCTTACTCGGCCATGGAAGGATGGCATGCCAAGATATCTACCAAGGTCCAACACTCCTTGAAAACCAATTGATTGAGCAATGGCTTTTTGCTGTGCAGGCATCGTATTTTTTGAAAAATAGATCGTTGACTTCTGTGGGTTTACTTTCTGTCCAGAATTTGCGCAGAAGAGGTCAAGGCATCTTTTCATTTCCAGCCCTTGTTCTACTGTGGCTTCCCCGAATAAGACTAAGTCATCTGCAAAGAAAAGATGGGAAATGTTAGGAGCGTTTCTAGATAGTTTAATACCTTTCCATTTGCCGGATGCTTCTGATTCCACAATTATGTGACTGAGTCTTTCAATACATAGTGCAAATAAGAGGGGAGATATGGGGTCTCCTTGTCTGATTCCTCGGGACGGCTTGAACCATTCTGATTTGTGACCATTCCACAGCACCGCTAGTCTTGAGGTCGTCACACATTCACAAATGTTCCTTGTCCAATCATGGTTAAAACCAATATCTTTAAGAGTGTCCTCAATGAATGGCCATGAGAGTCTATCATAAGCTTTTTCAAGGTCTATCTTGATCATCATCCATCCAATTCGTCCTTTCTTAGCTTTCATTGAATTCAATGCCTCTTGGTATACAAGGATATTGTCGATAATATCACGTCCTGGAATGAAGCTAGATTGATGCTGTCCGATCAGTTTTGATGCAACTGATTTCAGTCTTTGTGCCATCACTTTTGTCAGCAGCTTGTATGTGACATTGCATAGTCCAATAGGCCGCAACTGCTTGACTGTTTCCGGGTTGGTAATCTTTGGTATAAGTGAGATCAGGGTGTCATTACATCCGATTGGTAGCTTGCCGGAGTCGAAGAACTTTTGGCAATGGGCATTCAGGCTCTCCCCGACTGTATTCCATGACTTTTGGTAGAAATTTGCGCTAAATCCATCAGGACCTGGTGCTTTGCTTGGGGCCATATCGAAGAGTGCTGATCTTATTTCCTCAATTTGAAAGGGTTCGTTTATTTCATGCCACTCAGATGGTGATAATGTTGGGAACAGACCTTGGGTCAATGTAAGAGCTTGAGCCTGGTTATCAGCTGTGAAAAGGTCCATAAAGTAGCTCTTTACATGATTTAAAAGTAGCTGCATATCTGTAATCCAAAGATCGTTATCATCCTTTAAAGCCTTGATTCTCGTTGTGCCTGTTTTGACTGTAGTAGCTGCGTGATAGTACTTCGTATTTCTGTCCCCAGATGTAATCCATTATTCTCTTGATCTCTGAAACCAAAGTAGCTCTTCTTGATATAGCACCTCATCTAATTCTCCGCGTAAATTCTTCTCCAATCGTAGTAAATCAGCCCGATTATGTCTGGCCAGATTTCGTTGTACTCCTTCAATTCTAGCTAAGAGGCGTTTTTTCCTTTGGTGGATATTGCCAAAGGACTCCCTATTCCACTTATATAGTGCTTCTGCCATATTCTGGTTGTCGGTGGATAAATCTAGATCATTATTCCAGTTTTGTGCAACTAGTTTATTGAAGTCATTGTGTGTTGTCCATGCCATATTGAACCTGAAGGTCTTAGTTCTAAATACTTGCGCAACTTTGTCTGTGTTGATGAGGAGAGGGGCATGATCTGAACCGATTATTGGTAGATGCTTCTCTGTAGCGTTCGGAAAATCCAGCTTCCAATCAATGTTACTTAATGCTCTATCGAGGCGAGCTGCCCTGAATGTTTCTGGGCTATTTCCTCTCATCCATGTATATTGGGGGCCTTCAAAACCTAGGTCAATCAGGCCTTCTTGAAAGATCCACTTATTGAAATCTGAACACCTAGCTTGGGAGTAACTAGCAGGATTGGTGGTTTCCTCATAGTATGTCACTGAGTTAAAATCTCCAGCAGCGAGCCAAGGTCCTCTAAGTTCTAATGCTTCAGCTGTGAGATCAGCAAAAAGTCTTCTGCGTAGAGTGTGGTTTGGACTTCCATAAACCACCGCAAGTGTCCATATTTGGGTAGATGTTTCTTTAACCTGTAAAAGAGCAAATTGAGGGTGAGTATATAAGATCTCAATTGAGAGGGAGTTCTTCCAAAGAACCCAAATTCTTCCAGAAAAGCCTACTGCTTCGATTCGAAACCACTCATCGAAGCCTAGATTAAAACATATTTTGTTTGCATGAGAACCAGAAACTTTGGTCTCTAGTAGACATATTAAATTGGGATTATGATCCCTAATAAACTGTTTTAGGGTGCGAATGAACTTCCTTGAAGCTGCACCCTGGCAATTCCATATGACACTAATCATAAAAACAAACAAAAAGAAGGGAGCGTTTAAGAACGCATTATATCAGAATGGCCATCTTGGCCAGCAACACGGTCCATATCACTCATGGATATATCAGGAGGCTCTCTGGAGGTAGACAGTAACGGATCCGTGTCTGGGGGATTTTGTTTGAAGTTGTTTTCAAGTTCTGCCACTGTTGAGGAGGTTCCTTCATCATGGTAAACAGTTGTTGTTGAAATGCTTCTCCCTTCATACGTTCCATGGACCACCGTGTGTTCTCTTTCTGCTGCCGCTTGATTGGGAGTGGCACCTCTGCCACCTCGACCCCTGAATCCCCCACGAGTTCCTTGCCTTGGGTACCGAGGTGTTGATGTTAGGGCTCTTGGTCTCTGCTGTGATGGCATGCCTATCTGGTCAGTCTCATTAGACACCAGTCTGGCCGTTGTCCTAATTCTGGGCAGAGAATGAAACTGGAAGGGATGTTGAGAATCTTGTTCAATAGGCTGAGTGCGATCCGTCAAGTTACGGGATGATGGATCGTTCCTTCTGATCCTTGGTGAGGTTTGAGGATGGGAGTACGATGTCTGTATCGCGGGCTGAACAGTTGGTACGGTCTGGTGGTTTTCCTCTAAATCCGCAAGAGACGAGAATCTGGATTGAGTGACAATGTCTTCCACAACTGGCTCTTTACCCTTGGTTGCGGGTTGTTGATCATTTCTTTGGTCTCCTGGGGCTGCAAAGTTCTTGTTCCTGTTGAAATTCCTACGATCTTTCCTCGTCACCAACATCCATGCTCCATATTTGCCAGGAGGTCCTTGTTTAATTATCGCCGGGCTGTTCTGCGAACCTGTTTCCTTATCGCTTGTCGTCTGGACAGTTGCGGTACTGGGACCTTCCTTGCTACAATGATCTTGGCGATGGCCGTATAAACCGCATTCGAAACAAACCATATGGAAGCCTTCATACTCAATTGGTCATTCTTGAAAGTCCAAGACAAATTTAGAGACGAGTGGCTTTGTGATGTCTACTTCAACGCATACCCTTGCGAATCTGCCTTTGGAGGCCAAGCTGGTGGTAGTATCAACTTTAATAGGCCGTCCGATTTGCGTTCCAATCCTCTTCAAGAATATATCATCGAAGTATTCAATGGGTAGGGCTGGGAATCTAATCCAGACTAGCATCTTGCGCACTTTGTTGTTCTTTGGGACAAAATTTGGTACCCATTCCTGAGAGACAAGATAATGACCAAACACCATATATGGACCTCCAAATTTCACAGATTCATAGTCTTTTAGGTTTTCAAATCTTACCAGAAAATAATCTTGGTCCAGAGAGATTAGATCGAAGGATGCATCAGTTCTCCACATCCGCTGAAGTCTTTGTAGCAAGAAATTATAACCCACTGTTCTACCCAAAAGCTTGATGATGAGCGACCTTCTCCAGGGCCTACGCAGTCTTTCCTTTTCTTCTTTCGAAACCAGAATCACCGGGTACTCAGAACGTAGACATTCCTCAGTCATTTTATCATCATCAGAATCGATCGCCGTTCCCTTTGCAGCACTCTCCCTTCTCTCAGTCCAAGCCTGGCTGGGGGTCACCGCTGGGGTTGTCCACCGGCTTGAGTCCGGTGTGGAAATCTCCGCCGAGGGGTTACTTTTCATGGTTGTGTCTTCAATTCGAGCAGAGTTAGCTGGGGTTGGGTTTTCTCTTAGTCTCTTAGTCTTTCTAGTGCTCCGTTCCAGCAAGTCTTGGTCCTCTGGCGACCGATCGGTCGCTTCCGGCGGAGCTTGGTCCGAGAGAGAATTCGTCTTTGTCTCCATCACGTTATCTATAATGCAAGATAGACGTTGATCCTATAAGCTCGAATATTTATTGTTTGAAATTCAATTGTTATACCATGGACCATAGTTAGGTCTGAGCATCGGTCGGGTTCGGACGGATCGGATGGCCAATCCGTCCATCCGATCGGATTTCGGATTGGGGAAAACTACCCCAATCCGTTCGAATTAAGAGGGAAATCCTCTCGGATTTCACCTGTTCGGATACGGTCGGGTTGGGGTTCGGATTTCGGTTTGCAGTCGGATTATAAAACATACCAGAATAAAAAAAAAACTTTAAAAATGTTGAAACTTAATAAGTAATATTGTAATAACCCTAAACTAAATTACCAAAGTTATGTAGGCATTTACATACATAATTACATAATTACATATTGCAGTTCAAAAAGCAAAAATGAAGTTCACAAAATGAGAAAATCAACAACACTAAACTACTAAGTACTAAATACTAATTACTAAAGTACTCAGCAGTCAGCATTCAGCATTCATCCATTCCTCATCTTCCTGCTCAATTATAAAACCATTAAACGATTTAAACTTTAAAGCCAATAAAGACAAAGAGAAGTAGAGAACTAATAATAATTAATAAGATAGGCTCAGATTACTTTTTTTCATATCATTTTAGAGTTGGGGGGAAATTGCTTCATGAGTTTTGTCTCAGAGCAACATACCAAACACCCAAAGTCCTTTTAATTCAGACAAATGGTGGAAGCATCATCATAGCCATAATAACTAAACAGAAAGAAGAATATGAGAGGAAGGGAAGTGATATACCAGAATTCCAGAGATGTAACTGAGTAAAGGGCTAAGGCCTAAGGGCAGCAACATTTATAAAAAAGTTACCAAGCTACTTAGCAATTAGCAGTTCTGGAATCTTACCTGAGTTGCCTCAAAGAGTCCACACATTTATCAATCAAACTAAACAGAAAGTCAGAAAGCAATGTTATATAAAAGTATTACAGCAATTGTTGGGAGTGTTCCAACAGCACTTGGTAAAGAACCAGCAGCTCCAGTGGACAATTCTGCACAAAAAGGATAAACAAAAAATAGTTTAGAATAAAGGTAACAATTAACAATTTCTAAAGTTGAAACCTAAAAAGTTAGAAAAGGTACCCTTCTCTAGTCTTTCAACATCATTCAAGTTTTCCTCAACAGAGATTGGATGATTGGGTGCCCTCAACCAATCTTGTGCACATACTAGGGCTTCAACAATTTTAGGAGTTAAGGAACTCCTAAAGGGATCTAATACCCTACCACTAGTACTGAATGCACTCTCAGAGGCAACAGTTGAAATGGGAACAGCCAGCACATCCCTTGCCATTCTAGAGAGTATATGAAATCTATCACTGTTAACCTTCCACCATCTTAGGACATCAAAGTCCACATTTTCTTCATCTTCCACTAATTTTTCACTTAGATAAATCTGGAGTTCAGTTTCTTTACTGCTTCCACCAGTCTCCATTCTCTGTTTTTTAAGCTGGCTTTTCATTCTAGCCTGAGGTTTTCCAACTGAAGTTTGAGAATGGACAGGTTCAGATTGGGTAGGTTGCACAGTAGGGGATGCAGACTGCACATGGTAGGTGGCTGTATAATCATTAAACAGCAGAACCATAGAAGATTGAACCTTTTCAAAGCATGATTTTCCTTTTTCATCACCATACAACTGGGCAAATTGGGCAGGCATGTACTCAATCTTATCCCTAGGATCCAAAATATTGGCATAGAATATCAAGAAGTTCATTTTTTCAGGATCTCCCCAATATTTTTCAAATTTTTGTTTCATATGGGACCCCATTTCCTATAAAACAGACATAACACAGAAAAAATTAACAGATGCATACAAACACATTCAGAAAAATGTTAACAGTTTAGTGTTTACCTTTTCAGAGGTTGAAACAGAGTTAACCATGTCATCCAGCATGCAACCTAAGTCAGAAATCTCAGAAAAGAAAGTATTTGAAGTGACATAGAGAGAACCAGATATTCTCACAGTCATCTCATAGAAGCCTTTCAGGAAATGGACTAAGCTTTGCACAGAAAGCCAATCCATAAAATTTGGAATAGAATCAGATAAGTCAGCATTCAATGAGGCATCATTCTCATAAGCTTCAAAGGCCCTCTGGTATTGAAGGGCAGTGTTAAACATCATGTATGTGCTGTTCCATCTTGTTGGAACATCAAGTTGTAATGCACATTTGGCTTCCACCCCATTAAGCACAGCAATCTCTCTAAACTTCTTAAGTCTGGCAGGAGAACTCCTCACCCATCTCACAACATCTCTAACTTTCTTAACAGAAGGACCTGCATATCTCAACCCATCCTGGACCACTAAGTTCAACACATGGGCTATGCACCTCATGTGCATATATTGAACCCTAACAGAAGACCCACCCCAAGACAGAAGTTTGTTCTTGAAAAACCCCAAAGCTGTGTCATTTGAAGAGGCATTATCAACAGTAACAGTGAAGACATTTTTAATCCCCCAATCAAGAAGACAACTCTCAAGGGCTTTGGCTATGTACTCTCCCTTATGAGAAGAAATTGGGACAAAGGAAATGATCTTTTTGTTTAGCTTCCACTGATCATCAATGAAATGTGCAGTAATGCACATGTAATTGATCCTTTGGACAGAGGTCCATGTATCAGTGGTCAAGCTGACCCTTTGGGTGCTCACCTTAAACAACTTTTTTAGGGTTATTCTCTCATCTAGGTAAATCTGATAAATGTCTCTAGAAATGGTCCACCTAGAAGGGATTTGAAACCTAGGACAAGCAACTAAAATGAATTTCCTAAAGCCATTTCCCTCAACAATCCTAAAGGGAAGTTCATCAACAATGATCATCTCACACAATGCCCTCCTAATAGCCTCTTGGTTGAAAACCCAAGTCCCCAAAACCCCCTCAGAAGCTTCTGTTCCAGAGGCATTAAAGGTGAGAAGAGACTGCCTTGTGTCCTTACAATGAGGATTTTTTAGGCAGGCCTTCATATGGTTTTTCAAAGAGGAAGTGCCATGCTTTTTACTTTCACATTTATAAATTTTGGCACAATAAAGGCATTTGCCCTCAACTACTAGTCCCTCAGTTTCACCTTCAGCAGGTGGAGCACGGATCTTTTCAAAATGATCCCATACTATAGATCTAGACTCCACCTCTTTCCTCTTCTTTGTAGGAACAACAGGAGGAGAAGGCATAGGATTTGTCTGAGGATTTCTCTCAGTACCTTGAGCTTCTACTCCATGCTCCTCATCAGTTGAGGTTGGAGGGTGGCCAGTTGCACTGATGCTTTCCATCTATAAAGATGGGCATCAGTATCCACATTTTAGGGAGATTACAAATCGTACAATCATATTAAAGCTTCCACCATACAATCATACATAGAAGTATTACATATTACACTTCCACATATTGAACAAAATCAGATATTCAGATAGTCACAGAGAACTGAGAGAACTGAGACCACATAAATTACATAATAAACAATTAAACATACAAAGATATCCAGAATCAGACACATGGACATAGTAGTTTGTGTCATCATTTTTCCAGATTTAACAATTACCAATTAAGGGTCATACATCCATAAACTGATAGACATAATAACATATACAATTATACAAACAAATCCAGATTCAGGAACTCAGTCCAGATCATCATTATCTGGATTTGAGTTAAGGGCTTCCACCAATAAATGGAAATTTCCACACTGGAGATTTCACATTTTAGCCTTTAACTCGGATTGTTAGATTACAAATTTGCATGGCATAAAATCCAGATTTCACAAAATCAACATTTAGAAATCAGTTTGTAAAAGGCTTCCACCAACAAATAGCATAATATATGAATATATCACCAAATATTCATCACATACTCATTGTAAATGAAGATATATAAATTATAAAACTAGGGTTTACGACTTACTTGATTTCTCCCAAATAATCCCGGGAGAACAAGGGCTTCTAATCACCAGTTCACCAGTAATCACCACGGCTTCCACCACTTAGACTCTCAGAGACAGAGAGTAAGAGATTAGAGATTGCAACACTTCGATTCTAAGAACCCTGAGATTATACAATAGAGATTAAGAGATTAGAGATTTAGAGATTACAGATTACAGATTACAGAGTAAGACTGTAAGAGATTAGAGCTTAGAGAAATAGAGATTAAGAGATTAGAGATTTACCTTACGGATTTACAGAATCAGAGATGACTGATGCGTGCTGAGTCTTGAGTTCTTGACTCTTGAGAGAACTGAGACTCTGAGAGACTGAGAGTCTGAGAGAGTGAGACTCTGAGAGAGTTGAGAGTCTAAGAGAGTGACTGAGTGAGAGTCTGAGACTCTTAGAGAGTGAGAGACTGAGAGAGTGAGAGAGACAGAGAGTTGAGAGTCGAGAGAATGAGAGATGCGATCTCAGTTCTCAGATCTCAAACCCTAGGTCAGCTGCGCGGATGAGAAAATGAAGACCAAGTGGTGGAAGGCATGTATATATACATTGATGGAACGACGCCGTATTATACAAGGCCTTAGGGAACCCTAGGATAGTTCGGGTGGTCGGACGGGTCGGTTGGCAAAAATGTACACCCCATCCGAACCTTCTAAACCGACGCCGTATTGAATGGCGGATCGGGTAAGGAGATTCGGGTACGGGTATCCACTCCGATAGCCAAGCAGTGGGGCGGGTCGGACGGGTTGTTCGGGTTGGACGGGTTTTGCACAGCCCTAACCATAGTCCATCTTACATTATAGTTAATATATTATGTGCATACTACAATTAAAATATTATGTATATGCACTTAACATATTATGTGCATGCAGTTAACATATTATGTGTCTTACACATAATCTATTTATTAACTGTAGGCACATAATAGATTAACTGCATGCATATAGTTTGAATGTCATTTTAGACAAGGGTCTTCAATTTAAGGTGGACCGTGGTCCATGACATAATTTACATTTGAAATTGCAATGACTGATAGAACAGTCATTATTCTGTGAATCATAATCCACACAATTGTATAGATCATACTTTTAAATAATGAACATCTAGTACACAAATAATGTATTTTTAATATATTAAAAATGTATATTGTATTAAGAGAAAATATATTATTTGAGTATTAAAAGTACATTATTTTGTATAATGTATATTCGATACACACATAATGTACTTGTCGTATATTAAAAATGTACTTTTTGTTATGGTCCAAACAATAACAATCGTTATATCGTACACCATGGCGCACAATGCATTGTGCAACCCGCCCTACCCAAAACGACGTCGTTTTGTTAAGTTGTTTGGGGAGTTGACGCGACGGAGTTTATGTGTATTCTGTTATACAATTATGTACATTCGAAATATGAGATTTTTTTTAGAGTTAAGAGTTTAAGTGTATTATGTTAAAAGTTTATGTGTATTTTGTATTATGTTACTTTATGTGTGTTATCCTTTCAAAAAAGGTTATGTGTATTCTGTTTTTCAATTATGTACATTCTATTATACAATTATGTACATTTGAAACATGAGTTTTTTTTTTAAGAAATTAACAGCAGACACAAGAAACATAATTTTCAAAAAAAAATAAAAAATATACAAAATGACGTCGTTTTGGACTAGGACGTACAATACATTGTGCGCCCTGGTGCACGATATAACAATTGTTATGCTGTGGTTGCGAACGACGCTGTTAGTGGCACCGTTTTACTCCACTAATCAATTTTTTTTTGAAATAAGGCTCAAATAGACCACCGAACTGCATATGATAATGCAATTAGGCCACTAAACCTAAAAAACCTACAATTGAATCCCTAAACTAATACATTTCTTGCAATTGGTCTAATTTTCCAGTTTTCCAAGTTTCAAACAAGTCACCATATTTTAAAATATTTTTTAAAACTAATATTAAATAAAAGAATTGTTAAAAAAAAAAAAAAAAAAAAACTTCGTCTCCGGCAGAGATGAAGAGACGGTCGCCGGAAGCTGAAATTTCTCCAGAAAACATCGTCTGCTCCGAACGATCAAACTCTCTAGAAAACACCTCCATCTACTCCGATTGATCAGGATAAACAAGGAGATGCATTGCCGGTTCCAGAAAACAACGAATATGTTCCAACTGTTTAAAATAATCAAGGAAATTCTTCGAAAAATTCAAAAAATCCAGAGCAGGACGCAATCAAGCAAAATAATGGAAGGAGATTACCTGCGACTCTCACACGCTCTTTTTCAGATACAGTGCGTGGCCAAGAACATGTTGGATTACTGAATGCGATGAATGTTTTGATTAAATTTTCGAATGAGGAGGATTGCAATAGAGTATTAGCGAGAAACCAAGCCAGAATTGGAGATAAATTGGTCCGATTTGAGCGCTGGTCGCCGGTGTGTAAGGCGAGGAAGGATAAGCCGTCGACGTCAGTGCGGATTCTCCTTCATAAATTGCCTTATCACCTGTTTGATGCGAGGATGATTGGCCGGATATGTGCTCAATTGGAAGACTTCTAGCGTTAAATGCAACTACGGTTCGTCGAACGAGACCTAGCATTGCAAGAGCTAGAGTTGAAATTGATTTTCTTAAACCACAAATTGATCGTGTTTGGATTGAGATTGCGAAGGAGAAAGGCTTTTGGCAAGATGGTGATGAGAGGAGGAATGGTGTGGTGGTGGCGGAGGGCGGCGGAGACTAACTTTTTTTTTTTAAAAAAAATAATTACGGAGTATATTATTTAAAATTATTTCAAAATTGGGTAACATGTTAGAAATGGAGAAAACTTACAAATTGGACAAATTGTTTGGAATAGGTTAGTTTAGGGACTTAATTGTAATTTTTTTGAGTTCAGTGGCCTAATTATATTATCGTGTGCAGTTCGTGGCCTATTTGACCTTTTTTTTTTTTTTTTTTTTTTTTTTTTTTTTTTTAACTCCAATTGACGGGATTTCCACCATTTTCGGTGTGGATATATAGTTCACTAATTCTGGATATATAGTTCATTAATTCTGGATAATAGTACACTAATTCTGGATATATAGTTCATTAATTCTGGATATATAGTTCACTAATTCTGAATTTATAGTTCATTAATTTTGAATATATAGTTCATCATTTTGAATACACAGACGCAGCGAACTGCTATAAGCCAAAGTAGAGTATCAGTAACCGGTGTGGATATATAGTTCACTAATTCTAGATATATAGTTCATTAATTTTGGATATATAATTTATTAATTCTGGATATATAGTTCAAATTATGCATAGCATAACGCCGTTAACGGCAATCAAAAAAAAAAAATATATATATATATATATATATATATATATATATATATATATATTTTAAAAGTCAGACGTTAAAAGGACACAATGCATGGTACACACGGTTGCGCGACATAATTTGCGACGATATAATTTGCCCAGATGGAAGGTAGAGCTGAGGCCCATCTTGTAGAAAACTATTTTATATAACGATAAATTTGGCCCAATAATAGGAGGCCCAGAAACAACGTTGTCAGCCTGGGAATCAGATTGAGACAAGAAAGAGAAGAAGAATGGAAGCACTGAAACACAAAAGATTACTACAAGTCATGTGACCCAAAGGCACCAAAGAACCCAGCAAGGCTCGGCTGCAGCCAATGTTTGGAGTCCACCTTAAAAAATGCGAAAGAAATTTCCAAAAGGCGTCACATGATGATGGAGGAATGGATGGGATTGAATTTCAGCCTTAAAAAAAAAATTTGGAAAAAAAGAAAACGAATTTCCATACGAAATTCATCGATTTCAATGTTTCTTTATAAAAAAGACTGAAAAACTTCAAGTCAATCGGTTATTAAAGACACCCGAAAACAAAAAATCGAGGGGAAAATTAATAATTATTAATATACTAAAAAGTATTGTAGTTAAAAACATGGAATTTCTAGGCGGAGTTGTTCTTCTACTGTTTCTATTTCTTGTTCCTTCTCCTTATAATAGTAGTAATAATTCTTCTTTTATATTCTTCTTCTGCCCAATTCCCCTTTCTCTCTCTATCGTTTATCTTCGTGTGTATTTAATATGTTTTCTCGCCCCAGTTTTTCTCTCCTTGCGTGTTTGTGTTCTTGGCTGTCGCGATCGGGTGATCTTTAGGGATATAAAGAGGGTTGGGTGGGTTGATTGGCCCTAGATTCGATTGTTTTTTTTTTTGGCTGGAGAAATCAAGGGTTTGCAGCTTCAATTGATCTGTAATGGAGGGTGGTTCTGAAGGAGAGAGC